TATACAGCATTATACAATAATACTGTTCTGGCTTACATACAAATTCAACTTAAGGACAGACGTTGGGAACGGAACTCGTTCTTAAATTGGGGACTACCTGTAACTCTTTATTTTGATCTTGAAGAGAGAGAGGATTCTTAAGATTCTTTTATTTTAAAACAGCATAAAATGAATTTTGAAAAATGGACTTGTATTTGCTTAACAAGAGAAAGTAATCTCCTGTTAACAGCTTTTTTTGAAAATTAGCATTTTTGTATTTTTCCATTTGTATGATTTAGAGGATCAGGAACTAAGTGTCGCTTGTGAAAATCAGTGGCATTTCTTTGGCTGCCAAATGAACATTTTCAATTGATTCCTCGTTTTTTCCCCAAATAGTAAACTAAGAGCAGCAGCAGGTTGTGAGTTTACCCTTGTTGACAGCTTACTCCTGACTGAGTGTTTGAATGTTACAGAACTGTTCTCTCACCTCACTAAGTTGTCAAAGATGAGGATGCCTTTGAGATTTTGCAGAAATGACAGCAGCAATCTTTCCAGTACCATTATGTATCTAGAAGCTAGATTAAATGATGAATTGTTGGATATTTAGACATATGGAAACAAGTTATTTTCAGAATTTTACCTAAAGTCCTGACAGTTTTAAACTGTTAGGATAGGATGGAGATACAAGAGGACTTATATGGTAGTCTTTGAACTACAAGGGTTATTGTGCTGCTGTTGTTTTGCTTTTCCAATGTAAATAAATTCTAGATCGTAAGTACAAGTCGAAATATCAAACAAATTCTGTTGGTTGTTTAGGTTTCCCTGTTCTCCAAAAGACAGTGCTAGTGTCTTCTGCCTTGGAAAATGTTGCACAAATTCAGCATCCTTTGGAAATCTCTACACCTGCTGATTTGGATCAGACTACGACAGAATTGGCTGACTGGTTGGCATTGATTGACCAGATGCTAAAGTCCAACATAGTTACTGTTGGAAATATTGAAGAAATCAATCGGACGATTGCACGCATGAAAGTATGTGATGCCCCGAGGTGCTACTGTATTTTTGGAAAGCCTAAAGATATTTCATAATACTCTCTCGTTTAAAAATAATAAAAAAAATCCCTTTCTCTGTTTTTTGTTCGGTGAAAATTCTATCACAGAATTTCATAATTGTTGAAAATAAAATCCAAAGAATTAGGGATAGAGCATTCTTCTGCTCATTTTGAGTGGTGTCAGGACTTTGCCCATATTAAAAATGACTAGTCAAAAACACTGAAAGCCTTTTTGAATGTTCACCCAATTCTGCAAACTGTTGCTTTGTTTTCTTTGCCTGAGTCCTCCCTTCCCAGTAACTTGTTTTAGCGCAACTGGCAGGCAACTCTGGACTTAATATTTAAATCCATTTCCCAGCAGGAGAAGAATATTTTGTGTGCAGTTTCCATGCTCGCTTTTCATGCTCTGTTAAGATATAGGAGAGCTGCCTTTTTTTCCTGCTCCAAGCAAACTTCTGTGGAGCATTGATAGAGGAAAATGGGCCATGCCTCACAGAGTCAGGCTGAGCATAACTTTGCTCAGTGAAAGAGGTGTGCAGAGCTTTGCTTGATCAGGAGTGTGCACATTTGCAATTAGCCTTTGTGAGAAGCCAAGGACACCTATAATACATTTTAGAACACCTGTTTCTGATTTTTTTTCCTGCACCCAGTAGCAGCACAATATAATACAATGTTATTGTTCTAGGACCTGATTATTTTTAAAGCTAACCCTATTTTAAATTGTCTGCCAGGTATATGTGTACATGGGCATGCAAGTTGCTAGAACAAGTTCACCTTCAATTGAAATGTTACTGTCATCTACAAATAGTTTGCAGCACTTCCATTCAACTTAAAATAATTGAATTCAATTGAAATAGGTTAATTGCCTTGCTCAAGAATTGTTAATCATTGAGATCCAGCTCTAGGCAAGCTGTGATTGAATTTCAGGAGAAATGAGAATATTTTATACTGGCATTTAAAATTCTGCCAGCAGAAAGTAACAGGGAAATGGTTATAGAAAATTGTGCTGACATTTTCTTTGCTACTGATATTAGCAACATTAGAATATGGATGCAATTAGTAAGAAATAACTTGAGGATAGGTGTGTGTATAATTGTCTAATAGATAGCAATGGTCAAATTAACTGCTCGTAAGAATATATTTAATGCAGTTTAATAGGAAAATCTCAGAACTTTTCAGCTGCCCTTTTTTAGATGCACTATTTGGTTTGATAGCAAAGGGTCATAATGGAGATTTCCTTCTCAGCAATTTGTCATCGAAAAAGTGTGTGTGTGTGTGTGTGTGTACATGTGCATGTATGTATGTATGTATGTATGTATAGGTAGTTAAGCAGCTACTGCTGTAATCAAATCTATGTTGATTAAAACTCTGCCTGAATATATAGTGTCTGAAATCTGGGATCTAAATATATGTATTATAAAAGCTTGAGAACAGGACTCCTCAGAGCAGAGAAACAAATAATGTATCTTGGTGTCCCAGGAAGAGATCACAGAAAGCATAAATGTCTGTGGCCTTTAGTGCATCAACATGAATTTTATACAGCTTTATTTCCACTCATGTCTCACTTCGTGAGAGTAAAATCTCTAAAGGTACTGTGCAACTCTAACAGGTGATTAAGCCCTTATTTCAGCTTTCCTGAACTGGTGGGCTCCGGGTGTGGGGTTACTACAGCACTCCGAATTCCCAAGCACCATGACCTGGAAATTCTGGGAATTGTAATCTCAGCAAATCTGGAGATCACAGATCATGAGCTCTGGCTGGTCAGTCTATTATATTCGAAAGTAAGGGGAGAATTTTTAATGTAGATTATAATGTGATTAAGAAACACTTGATACATTGTTTTGCATAACTTTGTTTTCTCTTAAATCCCTACCACTAGTAGCACATTTTTATCCTACTATTTTACAGATAACAAAAGATGATTTAGAACATCGACATCCCCAGTTGGATTCTGTTTTTACCTTGGCTCAAAATCTGAAAAACAAAACATCAAGTTCTGACTTAAGGACAGCGATCACAGAGAAATGTATGTGTTTCTTGTCGTTAGACCAAAGAGTAGAAAGATGGGCAGTAAAATGGTATAATAAACATGACAGACATAATAATTAAATTCTTTATTGACAAAACAATGGATACAGAATGGAATGAGCCAGGTGGGGCCAGATAGAATCTATCATACAGAGATGAAGCAAGGTTAATCCTGATAGGCAAAAGGAAGAAATAAGAATGAAGATCTACAGCAAGATATCTTTCTTAAGGTGTTGACTGACATCGACTGGCTTAGATTCATATCTTTGGATTTCATCTTTTTTAAACACTAAGAAACGAGCTTGGTAACTGAGATACAGAGCTGTGGGTTTTTTAAAAGATTTACTTAGATGGTATGTTTTGAACAGTGTTGGCAACCTATAAAAGTAAGCATTGTTTAGGTAGTTGGATCTAGTTTTTATGTACACTTTTTGTATAATTTTCTATTTTTAACCATGAAAGTCATTTTAATGAACACCTGCATTGGGAAATTAATAAGAAAATGAGAGAAAAAAATAAGCAGATGGAATACGAGATAGTTTGGTAAATATTGCAGTAATATATTGGCACTAATTCAAAGGCTAGCATAACATTGCCAAATTATGCATTTTCATTAACAAAGGCATATTATGTATTTTGGTGTGTGTTGTATGTATGTATGTGTGTGTGTAATAATGTAATGTAATGTAATATAATGTAAGTAGAATTGGCCCCCCCCCCCCCCCCCCAGAATTTTGGGTATCCATAACAGCAGTTTTAGGACTCAGTGCTGGTTTGAGAGATTTTTAAAAAAATATTACTTTGAATGCTAGAAAAATGAATATGATGCAATATTTTCAATGTCTTTTCACAGTAGTAAGTTTATCTTTTGTCTTTTTCAGTGGAGAAAGTTAAGAACCAGTGGGATGGTACTCAGCATGGGGTTGAAGTACGTCAGCATCAGCTGAAATGCATGCTTAGTGACAGCATGAAGTGGGATGACCATAAGCAAGAAATGGAGAAGTTAATTGGACAGTATGAGATCCATCTGCACGCTCTCTTACAATCTCCTAAAGAGAAGCTCACCAAACAAATTTCAGAAAACAAAGTGAGTTCAAGCATGCTTCCTAACGCAGAACCTTGGTTCATAGATTCCATTTAATGTATTGCTCCTGTCACAGAGCTAATTCAGTTTGAGAAAAAAAATGTGATACAGCTATTCCTGATATACCTGCAACTTGAAAGGCTTTACGAAAAAGCTCAGACAGTTGGATTTCTGTATCTTGTGTCTTGAACTTTCCTTAAATATTATCCAGACCCTTTCCCATTTTTATTCTGGAAAAGGCAGCCAAATTAAAGCTTGGGGAACTGCCAAGTTGGAGGTGGGGAGGGCAGGGGAGGCAATGATTGGCATGACCTACTGCTGATTAAATTAAAGAGTGGTGAATGTGTCTTCTAATTAGATTAAAATAAATTTCCCAGAAACATATTACTGCTTGCCAGTGCTTACCTGATAATAAATCTCTTTCCTGTTGTAAATCTATACATTCCTCAATTCAGAATCTTGATGGGAAAAATGGACAAATCTTTACCACCCTTTTACCAGCTTGGGAACTTTGGAGATTGCTTTTCACTGTTTAAGATGAACAGATTCCTTTTTGATTAGTCCAGAGACATTAACTTCTTGACAGTCTTTATCTAAAACCCTGTAACTATCTTTGAATGGAAGCATTACCTGTTCTTGTGGGCCCTTTGTTTCTGACTTGCAAAACGTCATTGATTTGGTCCAAGAAATTGACTCAGAGTTCACTTGGACTCTTAGACAAATTTTTATCCTAACCTAGTACTGTTTCTTGTGTCCTCTGCTGCCTGCCCCATCTTTGTAGGGTCAGAGTCTTCTGCTTCTTTGCTTTGCTTTGTTAGCCCAGAGACTTAATTTGTCTGGAGATTGATTTATCTAATAAAGCATCCGTTGTCTTACTTTGCATAGCCCTCTTAAGCTGGTTACCAAATTAAACCATATTCTGGGTTCATGCAAGGTGAATTGTATATGCTGGGCTCAAACAGAGGCATCAGTTTTTCTGAATAGGTTTGACAACCTTCCTTCTCTCACTCAGGAAAAGGCTTTTCTCCCCTAAAAATAAAAAAATAAAGTCAACAACAGTTATCTTTCAGGGTCCTTTCAGTAATCAGTGTTTACCAGAGGTTTGCTGGTTAGTCAATTAATGCACATATAATATTTTGTCCATAAGTATATTGCCATGTTCTAACATTTTCATCAGGTGGCTAAATGAAAATTGTAATGTAAGACATTTTCTTTGGTGATATGGGCTATTTTTTATATTGATATCAACCAATCTAAAGAAATAAAATAATCTATAATCTTTTAATATTGTACTACACTAGTGGAAAGATCAAGAGGCACTACACTGGAGGATTCTGTGATTTTAAAATTATGGTTCAAAGGAATTAGGATATAAATGCCCACCCCAGAATTTACAAAATCTTAGAGACTGGTGATAAATTGTGACAGGTGTATAAAATAAAATATACTTATGTGAGAGCTACTAATTACTATTAGAACAATACTTTCTATCAAGGAATGCAAGTGGCGAGTACTCTTTTAGATTCAAATATGTCTTTTTTTAAAAAATTGGGTTTTAAGGGAGAAGAAATAGTTGGTGTAAAGCTGCAGAATCTGCATTTAGCTTTAGATGGAATCCTTGGGGTGATGGCAGGTATTGTGATTAAGTGCTAGGACAGACATGCAGAATATTTTCTAGACAGAGGGCTACATTTGACCTTTGAAGAGACTGCTGGAAAAAAAAAGTAGTCAGTGGGATCAAGACAAAGTCCAATTTTGGTGTAATTTACATTTAAATTTAATCAAAATTAAATAAATATGGTTTCACATCAGTAATATGCTTAATAATGCTTCCTTTATCATATTAAGACATAAAATTTAGATAATGACAATGGCAGATTCTAATTAAAGAATTATAAAAAAAACCTGAATGTGATTGATTCTACTGCTGAAGGCCATTACTTTGCCTTCTTTTATCTAAGAATTGTCATTCTTTGGAAAGAATTGTCATTCTTTGGTTACAGACTCTCATTTTGTGAGATTAATGTCTTGAGTTTTTTGGACTATAATTTAATTTTTGTAATTAAAAAAATTAAAAGCAATGCATTTCTGAGGTATTCTATAGCAAACACAAGTGCATTGTTGCCTGCAATTGTTTACAAGAATATCCATCTATTTTCCTTAGCTCTGTTTCTGGATTTTGCCATTCCTACAGTTTCCAAGGAATAAACAATGACCATATCCATAAGGGATATATCCATATCTCTCATCTTTATTTGTGTACCATGAATGGAATACCTTGCATTCTTAAAAACATCTTAACTTACAGATTTCTTAAAATCTAAATAAAATTTGCTTTCCAAAAAGCCACTGGAATATAGAATATTTAACCTAGAGAAATCTGGATAATTGATAAAATAAACATATTTTCCTCACTATTTTGATAGACTCCATATATTGGGAAGACAACAGTATTTTGCTTCTACTAATTTGTATTTATCATTCTAGGGTAATGTTTGATTGTTCCACTGGTAGTACTAGATTTTCCTATGAAAAATGGAATCTTAAATGATTATTGAGACATAATACATGTGAAGAATCTTATAAGGAAAATAAAAGAGTCAGGAATAAATATTTTCTGATCATAACCCTAAATTTTTTTTATTCTTTGAATACAGATGACTATGCATAATGATTCAGTAGCGCTGTGTTTTTCCTATATTTAGAAAATAAATGATTTATACAGCTTTTATGCTCTTTTTATTTGACACCTCTATGTTTTATTTATGAGAGTTTAAATAAGAAATAAAGTTCTGATTTCAAAAGTAAATAATAGTACAAGCTTCCTTTGTATGCTGACCATACCTATATATGGAAAAGTAGTGCTCTATTACTTTAAGGCTGGGAAGGAAATACCTGAAAAATATCAATTATTCTTATTTGCAAAACAAAAAAAAAGCCTCATGAGGCTTTTAATGATCATCATATTCCTTTTTTAAATCCACTCCTGTATCTTTCTCCTTGCTACCTTCAGGTGCAAGCCACTCAAGCAGGACCTTTTCTGCTCAGGATGTTTTTTTCTCCTAAAGCTGTAAAATGTGATTTCAGTGACACTAACAGATGCTCTTTAAAAAGATTCTGAAATTAAATTCCAGTTCTCTGCAGAGAGTCTGCATTGTGCTGAAGGTTTATGTTTTAGATCAGTGGTCTCCCAACATTTTTGACTATGTATCCTTATCAATAAAATTTTCTTTTGGCACGCACCCCCAATGTATGTATGTTTACTTGTAAAGTGTATGTCTGTGTACATACACATACACACATACACTAATGGCTTATGTACATTACACATCATATTCAAAAACAGAAATTCAACATGGCCAAAATAGAGATTTAAAAAAGGATGAGATAAAATATGAGATAAATATAGACATTCTAATATTTTCTTCCTCCACCCAATGAATCATCTTGCACACTTCACACTGGAGACCACTGCTTTAGATTGTGGGCAGAGCTGGAAGAACTTGAAACCAAAGTTATAACCATTCTGTCCTTTCAAGTAAAATGCATTCTGTTGGGGAAACAGGAGGCAGGGTTGCTAACATGAATTTCCAACATTTTTGTTCCTTTTTATCTTTGTAGTGCTAAGGGCATTAGTTAGGAAATAAGATCAACTTCATAGTGTGGAAAGGCCACCAGTAGAGAAACTCCTGGGAAGCATAAACTGTTTGGCCTAAGTTGTCTTCCCACATCTGATATGATCTTGGAGTATCTCTTTCTCTCTATATGCCTTAGGGTACAAACTCAGTTTAACCTATTTGAGTTCCCCTGCTTTCTTTAACTTTCTGCAGCTTCTATAAAAAGAACCAGGAAGAGTTTGGCACATTGGTCAAATCATGCTACTGTACAGCTGCTGAATCTTCAACCTGCTTTCTACTTTTGTTATTTTTCCCTTTGTTCTGCTATGTTCCTTCATAAATTCTGTTGAGTGAGTTTTGTTCATAACCTGTCTCCCAGTTTGTCCTCCCAGTTTGTCTTCGGTCCAGTTATTCTGACAGAGCATGCTTGGAAAACATTCATTATAAGACAGATATTTTGGCCTCCTCATCAGTAATCTTGCTAATTCCCTCTTCTTCCTTATTAAAATGTAAGAATTAGCTTTTCAGAACAATAACAGCTAGGAAAACTGTTCTATTCCTACAATGGGAAAAATGAATTTGACCTGGATTTTCATTTGTATTGTTCATGGCAGCAATTTACTTTTCCTGACTTGTTTTGGATAATAGAGATGGAAAATATAGATGCTGTCCCCAAGTCACAAAAAGGTGGAATGCACTCAAGTCCCGTAGATTCCACCACTAGGAACCTGAACTGTTGCATATGTTGCAACAACCTGAACTTTAGCATATGTTGCTAAAATTTGCTGTTTTAGTCAACATTATAAACTTCTAATAAAAAACAACTATATGATTAGAAATTTTAACTACTATATATTTACTTTTTAGATACTAATGCAAGATCTAGATAAAGGAGATGCCAGGATGATCTCATTTAATGATCTGTCAAATAAACTTCTTCAAGATTACAGTGATGATGACACAAGAAATGTGAAGGAAATTATGAATCACTTGAATACCTCATGGATTAACCTGAAGCAGAGGTGTGTATCTCTAAATTATACACACATGCACTCACCTTCATATTTCTAAAATATGAAGAATATAAATTATTCTGTTACTGGGCAGCAATATATGATTTAAATTGGGGACTGTTGTCTTTCTTATCATGGCATGTATGGTTAAATCAAGAAGGCCTCATATTTTCAGTAGCTGTAACAAGAATGGTATGGAGCTGATCACTCTTCTGACTCTTACAATTCTTAGGCTTCAAATATTAGTTTACAAAATCTTCTTATGAAGAGGCATGTATTTGTTAAACCAAAAGCTGTACTACTGAGCACCTGGAGATTATACAGTTGGCTCATGTAATTTGTACGAGATCTGCTTTTTTTAAAAAAACAACAACAAACCTTAGAAACTTTGATTTTATATAGATCACACAGAATCACAACAAAGAAAGCAAGGTAAGTGCCCTGCTGAAATTAATTCTCTGGCCAGTTATTTCTTCTATTGGCTCCCCTTCTTACAACATACTAACTCTTGGATAAGTAGACCACTTATTAATATATGTACTTAGATCCATACACCCATACTCTGTTCAACAGCTGAGGAAAAAGGAAGGAATATCCAGTGCATTATAATGGGGGCTTAAGTACCATATATTATTAATTTAAGGTAAGCTGACCAAATGTTTTGTGACATAGATTTTTTTGCTGTGACTCTGAAATAGATGTAGCAGAATCTGTTTCTGAAACACCTTTTTAAAGATGAGAGTCTACCAAATTGGCATTTAATAGACAGTTACAGGACTCATGTTCCTTCCCCCAACCCCAGTTAGTGAAAAGACTGTTACTTTCACTTGCTGATCTAAAGTTATAATGGCTTGGTCCTAATTTCACTTGAATTGAGAGAGGTTCTATTAAGAGGATCTTTTCAGTGGTGGTATATCAGTTGTGAAATACCTTCTGCAGTTGATATCCCTAGCATCTATATTATATTCTTTTCAGCATCAAATGAAAACCATTTTCTTTCATGTAATTTAGCCTTTCATAGGTTAAAAAATGCTTACTGTTTTTAGATCTTTCCATTGCTGTGGGTTTTATTATGACATTTTACTCCTTTTTTAAAAAAAAAATTGTTAAGTGTTCTTACTTTATGGTTTTAAGTTCCATTTCATTAACTATCCAGAATCTTTCATTATTGCAGATCAGTAATACAAAAAATATACAAAGAGGTTTGTTCTTGTGGAATTTAAATACAGTTACTTTAAACTTTGATGTGGATATTTCCAGTCCTGAAAGTCTGATTAAGACTCATTCTCAAATCCTTATAACATAAAATTGTATAAAAGTGTATAAAAATTGTTTCACATTTATAAGACATAATCCCATGTATATTGGAGAACAATAGAAATGGAGGAATATTCTGTTACTCATCTCTAATTGGGTCACAGATGATATATGATACAAAACACTGATGTTTATATTTAATTGATCTATAAAGTCTTTGTTATAGATTCAAAGTTGGGTGGATTTATTGCCTGTTGGTTCTGGAGAACTAATATTCTTTAAGCTGCACTGACAGATTTTAAATGTTGTACCTCTTGTGTGAATAACATTCGCACAATGCATAGTTGCTTACAGTTGAGATGAATTATGTAGGGAAATAAGATAATGGAGCAAGTTATCAAAAATGCTGGTATTTCTTTTACTGTGCAGATGGATACTATCTATGTATTATTTTATAGTTCCTTTTGGTCCAGAATGCAATGGCCCAGGCAGCTTTGGTGTTTCATGATACGCACATATAATGCTTCTGCTCTGCAAGCTGAGCTGGCTCCCAGTGGGTTTCTGTGTGCAGTTAGAGGTGCTGGTGATCACCCCTCAAGCCCTATATGGAACAGGGCCGATTATTTGCAGGACCACCGGTCTCTGATTACCACTCCTCGCCCCATTAGAACCAGCAGGGTTGGCATACTCCAGGTCGCTTCCATTCTGGGCCCTAGGAGTTGGGCCTTCTCCCTCACAGCGATCAGCTTCACCCCAGAGATCCGGATGGCCCTGACCCTACTGGCCTTTCACAAAGCATTAAAGAGCTGGCTGTTTCCCCAGGTTTTGTGGCTGAGAGGTTAAGCAAGCCATGTTGTGTGATTTGTTTAGATTTAGTTTTTGGATTAGAAGTGAATGAGTTTTAGACATGATTTGTTTTTGGATGCCTATTTTTATATTGTGTTCTTGGTTTTGGTTTTAACCGCTGCTTGCCACCTAGAGTCACTGTTGTGAGATGCATGGTTATGTAAATGATTTAAATGAATAAATGAATAAATTTCAATTGCCAAAGTAAGTTATAAAATAAAAAAGATCACTGACACTTTTCAACATTGTGGTTTGAATATACGTGCAAGTTCAAAGTATTGTTTTCATTCATTGTAAAAAGCTTTTCATTACACACTCACAATCTCCTAAAGATATGTGCAGTTCTATTCCTCATACTAGCAGTTGCATACCCTGATAATCGCAAGAAGAGGAATAAAGTAATTTTCATACATTTTAAGTTGCACATTAAAAGAGTACAGCTCTGTTTCCTAAAATGTACGTGGCATAAAAAAAATGCATGCCAATTGTGCTGAGTCACACAAACGGTGACTTCTTCTCACCTTTCTGAGGTCACTGATGTTTTCCTTCCCTTCTGTAGGACTTGCAGTCGGCAGAGTGGTTTGGAGGCTGACCTGAAGACCGTGCATGCCTTGCTCAGAGACCTTGAAAAGTTCCTCAAGTGGATACAAGAAGCAGAAGCTACAGTTAATGTCCTTGCAGATGCATTGCAACGGGAACCGACTACTCTGGCCAGTGCTCCTGGAAGGGAACTGAAAAAGCAGATTGAGGTAAGAGGATGACTAGTTCTATGGGCGAGAATATTTCCTCTGTTTAGAGCCTCAAAATGGTCAAAGCCGCTTTCAGCAACTCAATGAACTTACTAAAGGATAACAGTAAGATTAATGTAGAAGATAAGTTGTCAGCAAAAAATAAATATTTAAAGGATGGACATTAAATGTCTGCTGAAAGAGAGGGAGGTGCGTTGTTAAAATTGAGTACGTGTCTCAACAGAGAGCAAATTTTTTACTATAGGATTGATACGCTGTTTATAGTAGCTTCAAAGAAGTACCCCCTAATCTTTTAACCTATTGGAGCTAGGGTTTATGCTCCTTGATTAGCCATGCAACAAATCCAGTATTGGTGCCTTATTTGCCTACTGGAACAATAATAAATTGAGATTTCCCTAAATGGCAACTTCCTGCCCTGCTCCTCTTCTTGTCTGATCAGAAGGAAATAAAAGGCAGTTTTTGCTCAGCGTGTTGCTCTGAGTTACCTCCTATTGTCTATTTACCAGGAAAGAAGGATTGCACTATGTTTGATGGGCAGTAGGAAGGAAACTGTGCAGGAGTACCTTACTTTTTCTCAACCAATTTGGGTTGTGCACTTTTCTCTGTCACACACACATTGTCATTCACTCCAGTTGAAAAAAAAAATCACCCAGTCTGTCTGCTCTGCATAAGCTTTATCTGGAGGCTGACCAATGATGAAGCATACTAACAAAAGAAAGGAGAGAAAAAAAGGTCAATAATTTTTCTTGCTCTTTTTAAATAGGTATGGGTGAAACCAAAAGAACAGTTATGAATGCCTTCATCTTGTTCATATTCATTTAATCAGTTTCTTTTCTATTTGTCTCTGGCAATTTTGAAGATGTGTAATTATAATGCAGTTACCCTTTATCTATTAACATCTATAGATTGCTCAGTTCATTGCTTCCTTTTACCCCCAACCAGATGAAGCTTAACATTATAGTTGCTGCAATTCATTCAAAAGCTACAACAAATCTGAATTTCACATTCAAAAATGGCATTAGATGAATAAGTAATTTAGAATTGCTCAATATTGGTTCTAAATGTTTTTATGTTGAAAGTAATTACAAGACGGCTTTTGTGTTAAAGCAGCCTTAAAATAATTCAAGGACAAATGTATTTTGAAGACAGTTTGGAAAATGAATGGGTGTATCTCAACATATGGTAACTTTTAATCACAGTTCATTGTGATTTCAACACTGAAGTATTGGCAATAGTAGGACAAACCTCATCTTCATTTGCAATTATTGTAATTCTGTAATAAGCTGTCATTCTTTCTGATGAGTTTCATGATTGCTTAGTGGTGCATTTGGGAAGCTAAGGGCAAAGATATAACCATATTAATCTTGGTATCAATATACGTTCTGTTTGGGAAATGTGCATTGACTTTCAAGCTATGTTACTTGAGTAATATAACTTAAGCATGCACAGTTTTCTTGGAGGTATTCTTATATTGGGGAAGACTTTAATATAGAAGCCCTGTGTTACATCATGTAAACATTTAATAGTTATTTTCATCCTGAAGCCTTTAATACATGTATGGCTTCTCTTTGAATCATCTGCTCTCAGTATCATCTGCTATAATGTAGTCTTTCTTACTTGCAAATAAATTGGACAAAATGCATACTTGATAAATAGACATGCACGTGAAGTGGTCAACATTGGGGGAAAAGCCATTTGCTGGTCAGCAAAATTTTTGTGAGTCATACAGTAAATGTGCAGAACCAATAGTGCAAACATTCCTTTATAGAGTTATGCCTAAAATCCAGTTATCTGAGGTCTCTACTGCAAGCATGAGAGTTGGATACATGATTGCTAGTTTTCAGAAAACTTCCATTGTTTGGAAAGGACTTAAAAAAAAAAAAACTGGAGGCCATCCTTTCGTTGCCTGTGATTTCATGTGCAAATAGTTATTTTTTGTTGCCCACATAAACTTCTCTTCTGTTACAATTATAATCTCTCATTTGCAGGCTGCTTGAATGCACAACTTACTCAGTTGGTTGCTTAGAAGTTAATCGAATGGTGAAGGATCTTGGACTGTCCCTTTATGTCCTTTTGAATACTATTTTTTCAGTTGGCTGATCATGGGTGTCAGTGTCCACAATTCTATTAGCAAAAATTCTCAAACACTCTTCTCACATTGCCTGGATCAGAAAAGAGGTGTGTGTGTGTGGGGGGGGGGGGAGGGCAAATTTTAGGGTTTTTATATTTAAAAAAAGGAGCATACAAAAATACAAGAATAGTTCAGAGAACAATACCAGTTCCCTAAAAATGAATTGGTTGAGGCAATGCAGTATGTAATCAAAGTAAAGCTTGATAGCTTGACATTCTGTCATTCCTGGAAAGTATCATTTCTGTCATTTTTATTAGTTCTTTGTGTTCCTTCT